GGATCATAGTGGTACTCGGGAAGAGTGTGAGGCTAATTTGTGGCATGCCTGCCAAAAAGATTGGTCCCTACTTGCCTAGAAAACATTTAATACATTTGTTCTAAGGTCCCTTTTCCTTTTAACTTGCTAAACAAAAATCTACTTCAAATCCACTAAAATAGATTGCTACTACTATAAAATAGCAACAACTATAAGGATAACTAGTAATATTTTGGTACAGTAGGCCTCAGAGTAGAAAGGGGCAGATTATCAGTTTGAACTGTGTTTCTTCTTTTTAAGTTTGACATTAACAGCTGCCAATATCTGGTGTTTTAAATAGTCTGCTTATGAAAGATTCTGTCTGTGCTGGAAAATAGCTTTGAAATTGGATCTCTTTTTTGCTGTTTTTTATAAAAAACATTACAGATGGAAATATTAAAATTGGTCACTATGGTAATGCATAATGTTAACTAGAGGATGCACTTATAACTAAATCCCTTTTGTCTGAGAATTTCAAAGTATTTTACAAAGGAGGAATGAACAAGTGTTTTATGTAGGTAGTTTATAAGAATTCAGAGCTGATAAAGGGAGAAAATTTAGTTTTCATGAAGATGTCCATATTATAGTACTACCAGCAACTTCCTCCAATAAAAGTTGAATGGATTTCAGTGCAACATACAATTCTAAAACAGATTTCCATTTTCCAGCCCTGATCTCTGGGAATTATGGCTTGATTTGGAATTTTAGCAAAATTTCTTCAGCTATTACAATTTGAGTACAATAAAAAGATTATTCTTAATTTAAAAAAAAATATTTCTCTACTTTTTCTTTGACAATCCTGTTTGTTTGAAGCTTAAGACTTGGCATGAAAGAGGTGGTGGTTTGCTGGGTTTTTTAGACTGATCAGTAATGTTAGAAGGACTTGCCCTGCTTGGTAAACTTCTAAGGTATATTGCCTAATAAAGATGTGCTCCCTTTTAATGTAGTACAACTTTCCCTTGATTTATGCTGCACATGCATTCCCAGAGAACGGTGCATAAATCGAATTTGCATAAAGTGAACCCACTTTACAATGTAACAGATAGAGATAGGTTCCCATGACGGTGAGTGAGGCTGGGACTAGGGAAGGGGTGCTGCTCCTGGGGCTGCACAGGGCAGCAAAGCAGAGGGAACAGAGCGGCACTCACCCCAGCTACAGCGGCCCTGGGAGCGGCGGGCACCAGCTGCCTGCAGCTGCTGTGCTGCACCGTGCTCTGCCTGTCCCCACTCACCTCTGCTCCTGGGCTGTGCCATGCCCTGGTGCAGGCAGCTGGTGTTGGCTGTTCCTGGGGCTGCTGCAGCCAGGGCTGGTGTGAGTGCTGCACCCCATGCTGCCCCAGCCTGTGCTGGAGAGGCCCTGGGAGCAGCTGACACCAGCTGCCTGCACCACGGCACGGTGCAGCCCAGGAGCTGGGGTGAGCCCAGGTGTGGGGGGGGCAGGTAGAGCATGGTGCAGCCCAGCGGCTGCAGGCAGCTGGCACCGGCTGCTCCCGGGGCCGCTGGGGCTGGGGTGGATGGGGCCACGGCCCTTTCCCCTCCCCACACAGACTTTTCTAGTTGGGCGGGGGACAGCTATGCTTCACATAAGAGTGAATTTACCTCTCATATAACGAATTTGGGTGTAAATATGCTCATTGCATGAGAGCAAATTCACATATCAAGAACCCGCAGAAATTGAGGGAAAACTACTGCATGTTATTTTGAGGTTCTCACTTATGCGCAAATGCTGCAGCTTTGAATGCATAGACTGGTGAGAGAGGTGGGAAATGTACGAGTGGGGCTTCCAATAAAATCTGCCATCTAGAACAGGAGATAATTAGGGGTAGAAGGATATTTTTAATGCTTAAAGAAAACTAAAGTAAAAGTTTTATAGGAAATGAAAATAGAAGGGCTGTTGGGGTAGTGTTAACACATGAAGATGCCATCTTGACTGAGTTGTACAGCTTGGCTGTTTTGTGGCATTTTTAGTGAACAGCTTGATCGTATGAATATTCATTGATATCCTTAGTCTTGCGCACAGCAGAGTTTGAACGATTGTGAATTTGAGCGATCAAGTTGGGTGACGCCATGGACAATCTGTGTTCTGCATTTCACTGGTTGCCTAGTTGTTGTCAGAATTGTCATCTAATCCAGTACCTCAAAACTTTGTTAAAATGTGTAGAAATTTTGATATGCAGACAAACTTGGCTGCACTAGTAGTTCATCTCATCTGTGTATTAGACTTCAAAAGTCTCAGCTAGAGTTTCATTCCTTAAATAATTAAGCTACACATGCAAGCAAAAAAAGGAACAGAAAGTACTACATACTTAGAATGCAGCTGAGTTAACACTGGTTTAAAATTAATTGTTTTGTTTTAATTACAGCTTGAAAAATAACTCCAGTTTTATTTGTTCTATTAAAAAGAAAATATGGCAAAGGAGCTACAGAATATATACCATTCATAAGGAGAATTCTTACTAAATAATCTTAATTGCATGTGGCATCACTAATTTTACACCCAGTTCTGAAAATGTTACCCTAAAGTAGATAGGAGAATCAATTTGAATTCCATGCAAACTAATATGCATATGTGTTTTGAACTGGCATGTGCATATTTTTCATTTTACCCAGATCGGCTTGCCCGGGGGGGGGGGAGGGGTTATGTAGTTTTTTTTCCCCCACCAACTCTCACATTGTCCTTATTATTAATCAGTTGCAGTGATGTGCATGAAGATGAGCAACTGATCACTTGTGTACAAGCCTACTCTGTTTAAGTGAATAGTTGCAGGACTTAAAAAGGCTATGTGCTTATCCAGACTTCCTGTAGACACTAACAGCACCATATACTTCACTGTCATTGATTACAGGAGACAAGGCTAACCTGTGGCATAGGTGCTGTAAGCAGCCTGTGTGTGTGGCATATGGCAGATTGGGGAGGGGACAGGCAGCACAGCAGCAAATGGGGCAGGAAGCAGAAAGTAAAGCAGTAAATTGGGCATGGGAAAAGGATCCAAATGGTGCTTCAGGGTGAGGGACTAATTTGTGGCGCACATGCCAAAAAGGTTGGCTGCCACTGGGTTCCAGTACTGTCAGTGCCGTGGTATTTGCAGCCCTGAAGCTGACTAGCTCTCTTTGGGTGCTGACAGATGTGGAAAAACAAACAGCACTTTACTTTTAGCTTGGCATGCCCCACACCAAGCACAGCACATACCCAGAAGAGGAATCGCATCCGTTTGACCCGGCTCGCCCAGCATCTGTAAAGCTCATGCGCTTCAGTGGGGCTTTCAGTGTTTTTATCCTAATACCTGACTAAGTCAGCTGTTAAATAAAAGCGTCAAAAAGCCCCACTGAAGCACGTGAGCTATACAAACGCTGGGGAGCCAGGTCAGACTGACACGATTCCTTTTCCGGTAAGGTGCTGGTTTCTTCATCCCCCTGCCCACATCTGTCAGTGCCCCTAATTTTCAAGGTGTGCATTAGAAGTTGACTTTGGCACTTCTGGTAGAGGAGTTTTTGGCACTGCTGCCTTAGAAAATGAGGGGAGACAGACTAATTCCTATAATTTTTAAAGCTGTTAATGGCTACCCTTTGACAGCTTCCCATTTACTGTTTATGGTGAAGTTAACTGGAATACAGTTAGTTACAAAGTAGACAGTAGCGAAACAGTGAGGCTGTTCTGACTCAAAATTATATTTGATACAAAACACTGTTCTGTTCAGACCTCGAAACTGAAGGCAGAATGAAACAGTGCCATTTTGCACAGCCCTAGTAGACAGTAGGGCTGGAAAATGCTAAGTACTCCATCAATTTATGCAGTAGGCAACAAATTGATACTATGGTTAGGCTATGAAGCTAAGTGAATTATTGCAGTTGTCCTATATATGTATGTATGTATGTATGTATGTATGTATGTATAGTGTGCACGAAACAGGCCGTATTCAATTCGGATTTGGCCCAAATTGGGGACAGTGATTTGATTTGGATCGCTGTCCCCGATTCAGCTCAGCCGAATCTGAAGATTCAATGCTGATTCAGAGAATCAGCGATTCAGTCATAGACACAGCTTTAAATGTTTTTTTCTACATACCTTGAGGTACCAGGCACGGCTCATGAACGTTGCAATGCTGGGGCAGATGGAGCATCACACAGGAGTGCAGGGGGGGCCCCCCCGTGTGTGTTCGGCAGCAAACCTGGAAGTGGACTGGAAGTATTTCCGGTCCACTTCTGGGTTTGCCGGGGAGCGCGCAGGCCCCCCAGCTCAGCGATTGGCTGCAGGGGGATCCCTGGTACCCCCCCCCAACCAGGAGGCACCAGTTGCCAAGCTGGGGGGGGGCGCGCGGCGGCAGTGCAAAGGGGTTCCTCGCACACTCCCCAGTGGACCTGGAAGTGCTTCTGGTTCACTTCCAGGTCTGCTGCTGAGCTTGCTGGGGAGCCCTCCGTGCTCCTGTGGGACACTCCATCTGCCCCAGCATCGCAGCATTCACGAGCCCCCTTGTACCTTGAGGTAGGGGTGGGGGTGTGTGTATGGAGTACACTATACAGGTACTACAATTGTATGGATACAAGTATAATAAATGAATACACAACTGAGAATTTAGAGAGTTCAGGTTTTTAAGTTATTTTTTATTTCCCTCGTTGCCTGGAAGTCTAGTACTTTTTCCATTTTAAATGTAAAAGTACATAGTTTTTATGGATTGCATTCATAATTCAGAAGCCTTTATTGTGTTTACTTCAGTAAGTTTGGAAGGCTGGGAGGTAAAATGCACTTGTTTTTTAAGTTTACAGTAAAAAATGTTGATTCTGCCAACTAGATGAGTTGTGGATTTAACATTTTTATTTGTAAATGTAAATAACTTGGTATGATGCAATGGATTTGAAAACCGGGCAATTAGAGCAATATCCCATGCTGTTGACAATCTTTAATGTTAAGAGTGCTATTTATTTTCATGACAAATTGCCAGAAGTACTTTTTTGTCCTGTTAAATATGTACTTGTGTATTTGTAGATTGATTTGGATACCATAGATGTGAGCAACCTCAACAGGCAGTTTTTGTTTCAAAAGAAACATGTTGGAAAGTCAAAAGCGCAGGTAAGAGAGAGTTTCAAGTTGAATTTTTTCTAACCAATATTATCAAGTTCTTTTTTTCATGTTATGAATGTCATGATACAGCAGCTGTATTACATGATAGTAAATGTCATGTAACTCCTTAAATCTGTTATATCTTCTCAGTGGTGGGATAAGTGTTGGTTGACTGATTATACGCAATATTTTAAATCCATGAGACCTTAGTAATGGATTTTTAAGTCTGCAGTATTGTTTGTTCTTGAATGAATGGTACATATATAAGGCTATCAATTGTCTGTTCTTTTCCAGGTTGCCAAGGAAAGCGTGTTACAGTTTTACCCAGAAGCTAATATTATAGCTTATCATGACAGCATCATGAAGTATGTTTGTCTTAATTTTAAAAAATATTATATGCAACATCTTGATTATTTTAAAATAAGTGCTCATGTTTTACTTTTTATTACCTTCCTTCTGGAATTTGCAGAATTTCTTGTGATCTTTATTTCATTAGTCTCTTTGCTAGCATACTTTCCACAGTTTTCCCATGGAATTTATATGCATATCCTGCTTTTTGATTACAAGGTATTTGTAGTTATTGGAAGCACTGTACTGTGCCTTCCCCTGCCTTGTGGTAGACAGACCTCTCTGCATCATAATTGTCTGTAGAAATGTACGTAGCTCTAGAAAAACTGTTGGTGTGTAAACTACTGATCCAAACTTAAAAGGGGAATTTTCACCCTGTTTTGGAATATTAGGGTGACACTGCAAAGGACACGTTCCATTAGATAGTAACTTAACAGACTTAACCAATTGTATCTGCACCATTGTAGTAATCAATATAAGGTAACATATAATGCTGATCAGTAGAAATAACTTAATTGCTAAGGATAGAAAATGTTGAGTTTTTTGTGTGCATAGATAATTGGGGGGGTGCACACTGTGCAGACTGAGTATCTAGAGAATACTGAAGCATTTGCATCTCTCTTCTTGTGAAGACAGAAAACATCATTTACCACATTTGCATATTTCCAGGTTCAGACAGAGAGAAATTATTAAAACTGTGTTGTTAACTTCCTAGATAATTTTTAGTAGTATTTTTAAACCTAAAACATGCAGACTTTAAACTCCAGTGTCTTTAGGCTCCTTTAAAACAGTGTAAAGTGATATTCTTACTTCTGAAGGATTATGAGATTTTAAAACTACTGAGGTAAAGGCAAGTTGTAAATTCTGTTTATGCATTTCATCATGAAGAATGTAAATTCTGTTTTAAGTGGGCAGTATGTTTAATTTCTACTGTGCCATAGCCATCTGAACACTACTTCTTCTCTGCAGCCCTGACTATAATGTAGAATTCTTCCGTCAATTTACATTGGTTATGAATGCTTTGGATAACAGAGGTGAGATTTCCACTTTTTTATGGCTTTATTTCTGAGTTAAGAAATTAGTTGCCTGCATATAGAAGTTGAAACGAGAAGTAAAGAGATGCTAATATCAATTCTGACAGTTAATCTTTTCTATAACCTCAGGCAGGTCAGTTTGTACCATGTCTCAGTTTCCTGTGTGCAGTATGATAGATAGCTAGATAAACATAGATATATAAAAATCTATACTTTAGATCAGCGGTGGGCAATTATTTTGGCTGGAGGGTTGCTTAATGAGTTTTGGTGAGCTGTCGAGGGCCTCAAGGGTAGCCCTGCCCCTTAACAGGTGCCCTGCCCCCTGGTTGCCATCTTGGGTCTGGAAGTCCTGCCCCTAACCCCTGACCTTTGCAATGGAAGTTTCTCGCCTTGTCCCTGAAGTACTCATTTTGGGAGGGGAGTTGACATCTTGAAACTGTGGGAGATTGTCAGTGTGTGTATGGATATGGGGGGGTGGGAGGTGTGTGTGGGAGTTGTGAGAGGGTGTGTGGGTGTGTGTTGGGGGTATGGTGAGGGGGGAGCCAGCCCCACCTGTCCTGTCTTGAAGCTGGGAACTGTGCACCACAGCCAAGGCAGAGGACCCATATGCTGTGGCACGGGGCCAGCCCATGCCATCCTGGCAGCACGTGGTTCCAGCTGCGTGGCCAGGACCCTCATGGAGCCGGCCCAGTCCCTCCCGGCTGTGGTGCATGGTTCCCAGGGCAAGCCCAGCCTGGCCTGGGAGAATGCGATTCTAGCTGCATGTCCTGGACCCATATGAAGCTGGCCCGGCCCAGGCTGGCTGTGGCGTGCGGTTCCTGGCTGCAAGGCTGGATCCCACACAGAGCAAACTCAGCCCAGCCTGAGAGAACGCAGTTCTGGCTTCAAGACAGGGACCCACATGGCACTGTGCAGAGCCAGCCCAGCCCAAAGTGCCAGGAGCCACAGAAAGTCCTGCGCCATCCAGCTGGAGGCACGGAGCTGCCCCATGTGGTGCTCCTGGCACTCTAGCTGGGAGTGGCACATGGAGGCACAGTGCCAGAGTCCCACAAGCCCCACAGAGTGGGGCCATCGCCAGCAGTCCACCTCCCTCCCTCCGGGCCATTATTACCTGAATTTCCACTCGGATGGAGGGAGGGCTGGAAAACAGTCACAGAGTCCCCAGGGCAGAAGCCTCTGCTAAGCAGAAGCCTCTGGTCTCTAGAAGCTTTTGGGATGTGGGGGCGTAGTGAGTCAGGTTGGGGTTGGTCACATCGCAACCAGAGCCTGAGCTGCTTGATGCTACCTCTGATAGCTTGCCAGATAATAATTGTCTACAGTTGAGAGGGGCCTCATGGTCCAGGTAGAATGGCCTGGTGGGCTGGATGCGGCCCGTGGGCTGTATTTTGCTTGTCTGTTTTAGATGGAGGTTGCTGTGTCAAACACAGCTGTTGATATATTACACTCAAGGTAGAATTCTCTCCTTTCAAGTCAGGCTTTCTTTTTATTTAGTATTCAAATTGCCCCTTAAATACTTTTCATCTTGCAGCTGCACGTAACCACGTAAACAGGATGTGTCTGGCTGCTGATATTCCTCTTATAGAGAGTGGAACTGCAGGCTACCTTGGACAAGTAACCGTTATCAAAAAGGTTAGATGATGTAACATTTTTCTGGTTAATATGATTTATTTGGTCTTTTGGACAGCTTGGGATGGGTAATGCTTCTCGTGGTTGTTGAGACAGTTTACAGTTTCACCCTTTAGCTATGAGCACCTTATCACTAGCCATTACAATATAACATGTAAATATTTACCTTTTCCTTGCTCTGTAGGGAGTTACAGAGTGTTATGAATGTCATCCTAAACCCACTCAGAAGACTTTTCCAGGCTGCACAATTCGCAACACTCCATCAGAACCTATCCACTGCATTGTATGGGCTAAGTATTTGTTCAAGTAAGTAAACCTTTTAAGAAAAATATTCACCGCATCACAATAATTTCTGTGTGAATTGATATGAAAAATGAGAATGAATAAGAATTAGAATTAGAATGAATAAATAAAAAAAAAACACTTGAGAGCATCATTTCCCCCCCCACAAAAGCTTCTACAACTTGAATATGGAGAAACCTCCTAATAGTTTTGCTAAATCTGTTTCATGAAACAGAATTTCAAGAGTTGACAGATAAGATAACATCGTAGAGAAGCTGCCAAGTAAGTTTCTTAAGCATATTGATGTGGATCAATAAGAGAGACTTGTATGCCTGTTACTTTAAAACGAATAATATACTTTATTACAAAGCAAGGCATATTTGCCAGTATAATGACCTTAGTAAAAAGAAGTTAGTCCTCTTTTAGAAGAACCAGTTTGATCATTCACAATAAATAATGGGATGGACAAAATACAGTTACATAAATAAAAAGGTACGATTAAGTGAAATCTGATTTCATATCTTTTTAATTTCCATTTAGGAAAGAAGTGAGCCATTGTGTTCTATGTTGTTTTGTTGAAAAGAACATGATTTAAATTTGGATATCATTTGCTATATCATCATTTTTCATTGGATTTAAAATTCTAAACTGTAGGTACTTTTCATAAAATACTTTTGTTGAGCTGGCAGACTAATAGCAATAAAGATTTGTAGCTTAAGAAAAATGTTTTAAAGTCAGTACAATTTAAACAGAAGTTTTGAAAAAAAACCAAGCACTACTAAATCCTTATACATCTTAGGTTCAGTTTCCAAATTTAAACTCATTTGCCATGTAATGCTCAAGCTATCCTTCTGTTCAACCTGCATAGGGAAGATAAAAGTGGGTTTTCATCATTCCTGCCTCCTTTCCTCCTCTTCCCCCCCACCCCGTCCCCATATAAGCACCAAGTCATAGTGCCTTCAGGAAGCTAAGGTCATGGATCCTTAAAAGTGCAGTGAAGTGAACTTTTTATTCTAAGATTTATCTTTCCCATAAACTAAAAAACAGCTCAAAGACCTACTGTAGGATGGGTCTACTTGACATTTTAACATGTTTCTGTTTTGAATGCCATGTTCTATTTTATTCTAGCTCTGCAGAAATGCAGATTGAAAGAAGTTCTTATTTTCCTTCTCTAGATATAAGTGACTTGGTATGATTTACTGTTCTTTTATCAAAGTATGCTTTTTAAAAATATTTTTATATTGTGCTTGAGGACCAATTAAAGCAAATATATGCCTTGGTTTTCTATGCTATAGAAGCTGTGAGAATTAATCTGTTGTGAGCTTTTAGAAGGCTTTTTTTTTTTTTTTTTTTAAAGGCAGTGCTAAATAGAGTTCTGTTGGCAACTTCTAGGAAACTTAAGTTTAACAAAGCTGGGTTAATAAAACAATAGACTAGTATAGGAGATGTATCTTGCTTATTTTTTATGGAAGGCTTTAAAAATGGGTATAAGAAACTAAGGAAATATATCAGTCTGTAGCTAAGCGTTTTATGATGCAGATCTAGTGTTTTGTTTTTAATTAATAAATAGTCAGCTGTTTGGAGAAGAAGATGCTGATCAAGAAGTATCGCCTGACAGAGCTGATCCTGAAGCTGCCTGTGAGTGTTTACTTAAATTGAGAGTATATATATTACTGCTTGTTTAAATCAAAATATCTCTTTTTTAATGTTATAGTTAGATTCCTAATATTCAGTTTAGTAATGTTAGATTCAATGAAAGAGAGAGAGAGCCTTTAGAATATGTATCTCTTTTGAGTTTCTGTACATCTGGATCCCATTCGTGGTGCATCTACATTCTTTCCTTTGGGGTTTGGAGAGCTGTTTTCTTTTTTAAACTGGTGGCATCCACTATAGGTCACACACACAGTCTGTAAGCCCTTGTGTTCTCCTATGAAAAAAGGAAGAGCAAAGCAACCCTAACAACCATCTAGTTCCTTTCTACTGCACCTTAGCAGAACAACAGCTGAACTTCTTTGTTCTCAGCTTCATCAGCTGGATAGCTAATGAAGCTATCCAGCCCAGCCTCTAGCACGGATCTTTGAAAACTCTTGGAGCTCTGGTGTAGTGCCCGAAGACTGGAAGAAGGCCAATGTGGTGCGTATCTTCAAGAAAGGGAGGAAAGTGGATCCGGCTAACTATAGGCCCATCAGCCTGACTTCTATCCCGGGGAAGATCTTAGAAAAGTTTATTAAAGAGGCCATCCTTAATGGACCGGCCGACGCCAACATCTTAAGGGATAGCCAGCACGGGTTTGTTGCGGGTAGGTCTTGCTTGACCAATCTCATTTCCTTCTACGACCAGGTGACCTATCACCTGGACAAGGGAGAAGAGATTGATGTCATATATCTTGACTTCAAAAAAGCCTTCGATCTGGTGTCCCATGATCGCCTCTTGGAGAAACTGGCCAATTGTCGCCTTGGGTCCTCCACGATCCACTGGCTGGAAAATTGGCTCCGGGGTCGGACCCAGAGGGTAGTAATCGATGGAAGTCACTCATCGTGGTGTCCTGTGACCAGTGGGGTCCCCCAAGGCTCTGTCCTTGGACCCATACTGTTCAACATCTTCATTAATGATGTGGACACTGGAGTCAGAAGCGATCAGAACTGGCCAAGTTCGCCGATGACACCAACCTCTGGGGCAAAGCATCCACACCAGAAGACAGGCAGGTTATCCAGGCTGACCTGGACAGGCTCAGCAAGGCTTTCATCCATAGATGCTTCTCAAGCAAATCCCGGGACGTCATTCTCCCCCTGTACTCGGCCTTAGTGAGGCCGCAGCTGGAGTACTGTGTCCAGTTTTGGGCTCCACAATTCAAAAAGGATGTGGAGAAGCTTGAGAGAGTCCAGAGAAGAGCCACGCGCATGATCAGAGGTCAGGGAAACAGACCCTATGATGACAGGCTGAGAGCCCTGGGGCTCTTTAGCCTGAAAAAGCGCAGGCTCAGGGGTGATCTGATTGCCACCTACAAGTTTATCAGGGGTGACCACCAGCATCTGGGGGAACGTTTGTTCACCAGAGCGCCCCAAGGGATGACGAGGTCAAATGGTCACAAACTACTTCAAGATCGTTTCAGGCTGGACATAAGGAAGAATTTCTTTACTGTCCGAGCCCCCAAGGTCTGGAACAGCCTGCCACTGGAGGTGGTTCAAGCACCTTCATTGAACACCTTCAAGATGAAACTGGATGCTTATCTTGCTGGGATCCTATGACCCCAGCTGACTTCCTGCCCTTTGGGCGGGGGGCTGGACTCGATGATCTTCCGAGGTCCCTTCCAGCCCTGATATCTATGAAATAAATAATTTGTTGTAGTTAGTGGTTGTCAGGTCTTTATTAAGTATGTTGGCTGCTTACAGGCATGTGGAGGAAGGGGAAACTGCTTTACTTTCAGCTTGGCATGCCCCCATGCCAACTGATGTTTTACCTGAAGAGGCATCACATCAGTTTGACACAGCTTGCCCAGTGTCTGTCTAGCTCACATGCTTCAGCAGGCCTTTTTAGCACTTTTATCTA